CCTTTCTCCTTTCCTTCCTTCCTTTCTCCTTTCCTTCCTTCCTTTTTCTTGATGCCCTTTGCTTTTGTGGAAAATTGTCTTGTTGATAGGTAGAAGCATGGTGGTGATCCTCTGTGTAAAACAAAGTTGCTTCTTACAGACCAGAATTTTTACTCATCTTAGAATCACAAGATTTTTATGTTTTCATGAATACATACTTTGTTTTTATGATATTAGTTTGCATATTAAGTTTTTGTAGCATTTCATGAGAAAAAGTTTAAGCTAAAGAGTTTAATTTTCTTGATTTAGGGTTCACTTTAATAATGCAAGAGGCTTCTAAGTTTAAGGACCAAGCCCTTGTATTCTAGAATTATTGAAAAAATGTAGAAATACTCTAGGTATATGTTTCGGTCTAAGATGTATTAGCACAGAAGGCTTCTAGAAGGATTTAAGAAAAGATGTCCTTACTGTGAAGTGGCAGTTACAGGCCACCCACTCACCTTGACTAGCTCAAACTGATGACCATCAGGTAATGACTTATTAGATACACTTACTGAGGTTGGGTCAAACTGGAATGGATTTGACAGCTGGAATGGACTGGTAATTTCTAGTGCAGTTAGTTGGTAGCTCTTGACCTACCACCTTACTGTATACAGTCTCTCCTGATATCTTGTCTCTCCTGTCCTTTTTCCTTCTTTCTCTTTTTATTCTTCTTGCTGTAGGCCTGCCAGTGGCACTCAAGATTACCCCCTTCACAAAGAAGTAAAGAAATTGCTGGCTCCTACCTTAGAACATAACTAAGTGATGATCAGAGCGATTTTTGTATTATGAGGTAATTGCGCAGTTTTATTCTGACTGCTATTTTCCCCATAATCTTAAGTTGGCAATTTGAAGAGCATCTAAATTAATATTCGATAGGAAAGTTGTGAAAAAAGAGTGAGAAGTATATGGTTAGGTAAGTTACTGGGAACTGAGACTGGTTTGGAAATCTGAGAGCAGATAAGGGGAAAGCTGTTTAATGATTTTTGAATGAGAGTGTGGGAGATATATAAAGGAATGGTTGGAAGTAAAGTGAGAGAAGTTTTTATTGGAGGTAGGAAAAAGTACTAAAATGAGTCCTGAATGAGAATTGTTTGCTAAGAAAATGAAGTTGATTTTTACTAAGGAAGTTTCAATAACACCAGAGAAAATGGGTCCCTCCTTGGCTAATAGAACACTGTTGGTCTGTAGCTAGTTATAATGGTGATGATGCATTATACAAATCTGTTTTCATGTGTAGGATGATTATAGGATGTAGGAAGTTTGCTTTTCTGGGACAAATTTAAGTAGTACAGTTGTGGAATGGCAGCTTTTCTAGTCAAGGCAGGTTAATATTAGGTATTTGTCATTTGGGAAAAAAGACAGTTTCAACTTTTTTTAACAGTTTTCATTGTTAAGCAATCAGTAATATTTGTTATTATAGGCTATATTTTCTTGGGTCCCTATTACAATGCACTTTGAAAATAGTCTGTGGGTAAAATTATTTGATTTTATACTCCACAAAGATACATACCCAAAGATCTTTCCTTTTACAGAAACTTTAGTCTTTGGTCCACATAATTTTATTTCTTTTATTTTTGCAGTCCTAGCAACAATTTAACATCATGGACCTTGTGAGGCCCTTAATACTACTACATTTCTGAAATTAGACAGCATATCCCCTAAACTCACGTTTCTGTTTGTTTTCCCTCTTTCTCTCTTTCAAAATCATAGAAATCCCAAAAGTTTAGGTGGCAGATGTTAGTTATATAATTTAATACATCTTTGAAGTTCTTACATTCTTTGTAGGGTGAGCTGGTGGTGGTGTTTTCTGTTCCCATAATCCCAGGAGTGTTTTTAATTAAGGTAAAGAGTAGCTATAATATTTGTTTTTAAAGTTACATAATTCAGATATATTTGGGTTCTTTGTTGACAAATTTACTATTGATTTATTCCTAGTGATTTTGACGAATTGCTTTCAACTTTCATTTTAATCAGATCTCTATGCATTAGTGATTAAAAATGTTTTGAAATAGCCAAAAAGGAGTTCAGATTTTGTACTTGGAAGGTAATTTTTCTTTCTTCAGATGTCAAGTTCATTAACAATAGCAGGATTATTTTTATGTAGCTTATTTTATAGAGTTGCCACTTAGTATAGTTTTCACATTTTATTGTGTGTCAGATTTTAAATTATACTTATAAACTATAGCTTGTTTAAGTTGGTGCAAAGTCTTCTTAAATTGCCTCTCCCTTAGGAATTGTTTTAAAAGAAATAAATTCCCAAACCTGTGTCAAAAACCAGTGATTTAAATTACTGTGAGACAAGTCTTTGAAAAGCTTCCTTGAGTCTAGTCAGTGGAGACAAATGATAGCCCATTTCCATGCTGCATACAGTTGTTAGAGTTTATAAAGTTGTCAATGTATATAAAAGTGCAAAAAAGCAGGAAAAACTAAAGTTGCCTATAAAATTTCTAATTTTCATTACTTGCACTATTTATCTTTGCACTTGATTTTTTTAAAGATAGTCACTTTCACTTTTGTTTCTAGTCTTTTCTAATTTCTTACAAAATTATGTTTTCAATATCCCACCCAAAGCAAAACTTATATGCAATTAAATCTGCTTTATAAGGCCAAGAAAATATTTCTTAATGTTAGCTATGTAATACAAAAATTTGTTTAGATAAAATTTTTAATATGGACCTTTATTTGCTAATAAAATCCTTTGTAAATGTGAGCCTTATTAAACTGTGTAAAGTGAAAGCTTAGGATAGGATATATATGTATATACATACAAATGTATATACGTATGTATTTACATACAAATGTATATACATATACATATGTATGTCTTTGAGATCCAACTTCTACCCTGAGGTGATCTGGTTTTGGAGCCTTAGTCCGTTTTTACTTAATGAGATCTGAGTCTTACTGAGTACATGCTTAAAAAGCTGGAAGTGAAGTGGGTGGCAAGTGGCAGCTCCTTCTTTAATGTAGTTTTCCATAATGCTCATACAGTTTCCTCATGGTCTATGTGATTTAACTGGTATTGAAATAATTCTATTAAAGGACTATTCTTTTTTGGTTCAGGATTGACTTGATTTTTGAGGGGGAAGGAACAAGGGATCAGAGACCTTAACCAGAGGCAGTCTTACAACCTCAGTCATGTGCTCTAGAAAGAGATGAACAAAAAAGTCTACCTGTGAACATTTTTTTGTGTTGGTGAGATTGTGCAATGCAGTCTTCAGAATTTCAAGAAAGAAGAAAATTGCCAGTTTTGTCATTAGAACAAAGATGTTTTGGCTGAAATTTTTTTAAGTTATTTAATTATTTCACTTTGTATTCCCTTTCCCATAGCTTTCTACACACCTCATACTTAAAACCAACAAGTGAGAGGCCTCTTTTCAGATTTGGTTTATTTTTGGAATGCCTGAGTGTGTTTCTAGATCGGGGTAGTTAATTCTTGACATGCTCTTCTCAGTATGTTTTGCTAGTCATTCTGGATCTTACATTTGCTAATTCTTTTGAAAACTTCTGTGATGTATTTGAAATGAGAATGTTTTCTATGACATGGTGTGAATGTTTGTGGCTGGATTCTATTGTGGAAACTGTGGCTTTGTTTTCAATTTGAGTAGGAAGTTTAACTTCCATTGTCTAGATTTTAGGTTTATCTAGTAGAATTTTTCCAGGTAGTTGTCTAAATATGGACCAATTTTGGAAGTGAAGGTTAACATGTAATGGATTTGATTCTAGATAATCCTGTACTCAAAACCACATGTTAAAGGCTCATGACATTACTACTTTAGAGTTATGTTTTCAGATCTTTAAATGTAGATGAAGTTTAGCATTATATCCATGAATTTACTTAGGAAAAGAGAAAAATTCAACCTCTAAACCTTTTCTTCGCTACTTAAATTTACCATCTGGAAAATGATAAAAATTGTAGAAAGTGGCTTTATTTTTTAATAGCACTTAACCAGCTTAATTCTTTTACCTAGTTTGAAGCACTTATTTCCCAAATGTGAATAAAGGGAAATATCAGCATCTTCCCCCTGCCCTTTTGAGGCCATTTTTTCATTTTCTGCCTCCCCTTCCCAATCCTGGTGATAAATGAATTACGGGTATCCCTCTAAGTCCCTGTAACCCTTTTTGGGGGGTCACAGATACCTTTGATAATCTGATGAAAGTGATGGGCCCTCCCCCAGAAAAAATGCACATACACAGATAGTTTTGCATATAACCTCAGGGGCATCACATATCATCTGAAACCCAAGTTAAAGATCTCTGCTCTAAGTAAACGCTAGAGAAAATTGTAATGCAAATAATTGATAAAATTAGAAACTATTGGCTTAAAACATTTCATATTGGAATTATTATTAAATGATGGCCCCTACAAGCAAAATGTGACATTGCGACCAGCTTTATTAGACATTATAACATCCAGACAGAAGGAAAAAGCAAAGTTCTGAGAGAGCTACTTATAAGGAATCAGGGCATCTCTAGACATGGGAGCCATTCCTGGTTCAAGGCAGGGGTCAAGGGTGCCTGACAACTTCTAGTAGGGTAGAGTTTGATAAACTACAATGCTCAGGATGCCAAGGGGTTAACTATTATCTTAACCCCTTCCTCACCAAAAGATTTTAGTTTTGTCTGTTGGGAAACAAGATGTCACTAGGGAAAAAAAAGATTTGCCTTACAGCTTTGCTGGAACACATCAGTTTGGTGATGTATGGGACACTCGTATTTTTTTTTGAGAAGGTACATAAAACCAAAGTAAATTATTCTCTATGTAGAACATTATTTACTTAGTAACATTTGTTTGGGTGTATTAGCTTTGACAATTTTTACCAGTAAATACTGATTTTATTTAAAACTGGAAATCCAGTTTATAAATAGGATAGTGATATATCCGTTCTTCCCCCATGTAAAGAATAGTTTAAAGATTTGTGCATACTTCTTACTTTTCTCTCTTGATACCATGGGGTTGGGAGGGGGAGGGAATCTTTGAGTCAACTGACAAAATGTCTTCAAATTTAAAAATTGAGAAGCAGCACTTTAAATCCAACTCTACACCGTTTTAATGCATGTATTAGTTTTAATAATGATTTTTGGTGCATGCCTTTGGGCTTATTCAAAAGTGTACAATAGAAAAGTATATTTCCTTTCTTAGAAAGGAGATGTTTTTCTACTTTGCAACATGTGATTACAAAAATCTTCCTCTGTTGGAAGATTAACCATATATTGAACTACTGAAAAGTATATATTTTTAGATATACAGAAGGAATCTACATGGAGCAGCATTCAGACCTATATAGAAGTCATAGCATTCTGTATAGGACCAAAAAGGAAGTAACATTAAACACTTAAACAGACTTCGTCGGGTAGAAATACCTTCAGATCTTGCATTGACTTCCAAAAAGAAAATGCCACAGAAGTTTGTTGAAACTTTTGTTTGAATTTTCTCTGTCAGTGTATTTAACCCAAATACAACAGCTTTGGGTTAGCACATATGTAAGAATCAAAAAACAAAACTAAGTAGATCAGTCTGGTTTGCCAATCCAGCTTGACTGAATAAGTAAACTAATCACTTGCAACATGAAAAACTGTCCAACTCCTCTGAGGTTTTGACAAAATAACCGTGGCTGATGTGGGAAGACTCCCACTTTGATTTCTGACCCGACAGTGAAGATTCATGCTTGACATGATTTCAAACCTGACTGTCTGTTTAAGGAGCCATGGTACAGTTTGCTAATTCAATCCCAGATACCTGTTGATTACCTGTGAGATCTAGAGTCCAAAGTAGCCAGCAGCTGTATCCCTGAGTGCTCTGTGCCCATCAGATATCATAAAGTAAGCAGAGTTGGGACAGGTCGCAGCTCAGATGATTGACCTCAGGTGCTGTAGACAGCCCCAGATTCAAAAATTGTATCTGCATTCTTGGGCGTCATCACTGAACTGATGTCCCACACTGTGTTACTTACTGTAGATGCTCTCTTTTAGAGAAGGCCCAGAGCACACATCCTAATTGCTTGTGGTACTCAGAGAGGGGGTGCTAACTCTGATGCCCTGGCCAAATTCCAGTTTAGGGATGTGGGTCTTCCTGTCATTCTAATTGGAAATGTGCATCACTTCCCATTTTTCCTAATTCTCTGAGTGCAAACTATACTAGTCTGTTTCTTTGCCCTAGTCCCAAGTCTCCAAGAAACTGGTGTGTATTAAATGGGCCAAGTTCATGCCTTATCCTAATGCACAAGAGTTGAAGAATGAGTGAGCTTGGTGTCAGGATGCCCTGTGGTTGGAGGATGGACTCTTGTGATGCCCGGCAGATGAAATCTTTGGCCCTCTTTTTGCATAAGTTAGGGAATGTGCACTGGCTGGGGCTTCTAGCCATGAGGTGTGAGCTGAAACCAATTTTCCCTCTTTTCTTATGACATGATTAGAATATCTGTTGGGTTTTCAGCAGTCAGGGAAGGCCGGAGTTCTGCAGCTTCAATCTGGGTAACTAGGCTGGTTTGAAACAAGACTTTGGTTAATTAACTGGGTTCTCAGATGCCACAGACTCCGTGAGAAGTCACCATTATTTTCAATGGTTGTGATAGAATTTTCCCCTAGTAGCCATTATTTTAAGATTATATTGCAGAGTTGCTTTATTTTGAGCTTTTTGTGTATACACAATCCCAACTGGAAGAAATTTTAAAAAAGGAATCCTGCTGTGAAAGGTATATATTACTCTAGATTTTTCTTACTGTAAATATTGTAAGATTGTAATACTGTTGATATTTTATTAACCAACAAATGTTAATCTATGTGAATTCAGACTTATTTTAAATGTGCTTCTTATTTTCTGTGTGTGGTCCCTGTTGCTGACAGTATTAAGTTATATTCTGATGTAAGATTAACTTTATTAAAGAATGTAAACATTAATGTTTCCTTATGGGAAAACAAATAAAGTATAAAGAAGACAATTCTTTTCATTGAAATATACTGTGTATTTACACTTGCTAGACCCAGCACCACTTATAAATTTACAACACTGTTCAGAATTTTAGTTAACGCAGCTGACATGGTTGTGCACTGGTTTGGAAGTCTAAGAGTAGGTATTGTTGGAATATAAAAAGTTTGTATTTGTCTGCTGTGAATCATAATTTTGAAATTTCTAATCATGTTTGTAAAATTTTTATAGTAAACATTTTAATGACAATTTAAAAATTTATCTTCTCTAAAAAATGGTCAAAACATATCTGTTCAAAAATAGAATTGTTCTTTAATATCTTTCCAAAATGACTTTGGTTAAATGGACCAGATGTATATTAGTTAAAATTTAGGACTAAGTTGTTGATATTCTTTGAGTTTACAAGTTAATCCTTATTGGAAATGTGCCAATATACAGTAGAATATCATTAATTTGCACTGTTTGGGGACCCCATTTAAGAATGCTGAATTTTGCCAACTAAAAAGTAAGCAAATGTAATTTAAAAGTAAATTTGAGCATTCTGTATTAAATATGTGCAGTTATTATCATATGAAGAAGCGCAGTGTGTTGGGCTGTAATATAACCATATTTGCTGTCATGTTCTCCCATCTCAGTGCTGGGAACTCACCATGTGGAAACCAAGCAAACGTGTTGTGCATCAGCCGGCTTGAGTTTGTTCAATATCAAAGCTGAAACTAGCGAGGTCTGCTGTACTGCTTATTGAAGTATTGTGATTCTTTTAGGCATTGATTCTTACAAACTATATACTGTAACAGTATACTTTGTACAGATTTAAATTTTATTTGAAAAAATGAAATAAAGTAGGCAAAAAATAAAGATGTTTATTTTTCATGTGACTATATAAACAGATCAGTCTTTTGTTTCAGTGCTTTGTGGTGTGTGTGTTGGGGGGGGAGCTGGTGACTCCTTTATTTTTTTTTTTTTCCTGATAGAAACCATTTTTAGGACTCAGTACCAGCTACTGTTTGTTATTTATAATCAGTAATTGGCTGTAAGCATTAAGTGTGCGCTCTTACACTAAAACTTCATTTTCTATTTTAAAAAATATTTGTTTATTGTTAAAGATTTTATTTGAATAGCCTCTAAGTCTGGCTTCTTGGGTAGGTATTTTAGAAATTCTCTGATGGTGTGACGATTAACCAAGCCATCACATTTAAGAGAAGGAAAAACTTTTTCCATAAATCACACCCTTTTCCTGTGGAAGGTTTTTTGTTTCTGTCCTTTTAAATTTGAAGTTGGTTTGGGGTAGTGGAAGGGTTACAAAAGAGTTCATGACAAAAGATAAAGGGAATCCTCTGCAGAAAATAGAAGTTGTGCTTTAAAATAAGATTCCTTTCACAACTTCTTTTCTACTGAGTAGAATGGCAGACAGAGAATTATATTACCCATAAAAACATGGCACAGGAGACAGGACAGTTTCATTGGGACCTTCTAGAAGAATAGATTATCTGACCAAAGAGAACTATCCCAGTTTTTACCTCTAATTCACGAACCCACAGAGGCCTCACATATATATTTCAGTCAACTTTTTGAAGTAGAGTTTGCAACTTTATTTGAGGATTTGTCTATTTCTATCACTTCTTTTTTTTTGGTGAGGGTGGTAAGTGGGAGTTGAACTCAGGGCCTCTCTCTTGCTAGGCAGGCACTCTACTACTTGAGCCATTCTACAAACCCTTATTTTATCACTTTTGATGCTTTCTCATTTACCTTCAGGCAGGTTATGAGAAAGACTTGGAAGAAATAGTTCTTGAAGATTCTTGGGAAAAAAAATCAGACTATGGAAAAATCTCTCAGTATTATTAAATGTGTATGTCAATGGTTATATTCTAAAAACCGGGGGCTGGCAAAAAAAAAAAAAAATTCTAAAAACTGATGCATGGCCATAGATTACCTCAGGTTCACCTTATCACAGTTCTGGGCTTTCCTGGGTGAATCCCAAGATAGTTTACTGTTGTTTTCTTGTTAAAATGATTCTCCTTTGTAGAGAGCTGGATTGATTGGAGTAGTTCCACACCTGACAACCATCAATCTGATTAAAAAATAATAATAATAATGAATAAACTTTGAAAAAACTTAAAGCTGAGGGTGCCACTGTTTTGGAGAGTTAGGTGGGGTACCTAAGAACAGCTGGTGGAGTGTCTCAAGTGGTAGGGTGCCTGCCTAGCAAGCATGAGGCTCTGAGTGCAAACATTAGTACAACCAAAAAATTTTTTAAAGTTACCCTCAAAAACCTGTTGTACCTGCTCTGCATGCAATGCCTTCAATTTTAGGGGGCGCACAGAAAACAGGTGGGTACTTCCAAAGAAAAGACAGATGCTTTTCCTTCTTCAACATGGGATCACATAAAATTTCTGGGCCCCTGTCCAGGAGGAGGGGGTCCAAAGAATAGAAGGTTGTAGTGAAAACTGTAGCCACTGTTTGTTCCTAGGAAGTATAAAGAAGTGAAAAGCCAAGAGCCAGGCCCCTTTCTAACTAGCCTACGGCCTTTTAAAGACTCCAGATGGGACTGTGATAAATGTGTCCAGTTGTCAGTTTGGGGAGCAAAAAGCCCTGAGATGAGGTCCTCCTATGGTGCTGCAGGGGGAATATCCCAGCTTGGTATGGGTATGAACTACCAAGCAAGGCTAGTAGGGCCATGGGTACCCCTCAAGAAAGGAGCCCATCATAACATGGTAGAAAACATTTTGTTGCTTTTCTTTAGTACTTTCTTTTCTAAGGTGATATAATTGGCAATCTCTTCCCACCCCAACCTCCAATGTATGTAAACTTTTATTTAACCATATAGTATGTAATTTATTTTGAGTCTTGCATGATTTTTAGAAATCTCCTTATTCCTAGTTCCAGTAAGCAGACAGGGCTTTTTGATCTGGGGTACTAGGTTTTGGAAGAGTTTCTGCTCATTCAGGATCAAAGCTCTCTCTTTCAGATCTGACTGTTAGTCCTCAGGGCCAGCACACACTCTGCTGCAGTCATTTCCGCACTTCCCCCACACTTCTGGAACTTAAGGAGGAGGAGCCACATTTTTTTTCCCTGAAAATGGGGATTCTACCTTAATATTGCAAATCTCCAGAGTGTTCCCAATAACATCAATCCAGTTTTCCTATCAACAATGATTTTTACTCACTTTGATTTGTTCAAATCAGACCATTTGTACTTAGATTGCCAGTGAGAAAATGTCACAAAGCAGAATCATCGAATGTTGCAAAGATTAAAAGAGGACAACTAGGAGGTTTGTCCAGTTGACCCCGTCATCTTAGGCTTTCTGACTCCCTTCATGCTCAACTCAGATCTCAGACCTCTGTTGACCTCTTGTGGAGATTGGCAGCAGCTCCAGCCTAGCTCTAGTTTCTCTCTGGTAGTGGCACTAGGGTGAGTCTGTATTGTCACTATCCTACATTTTTCCAAGCCCACCATCTTTTATTTTTAGACATTGAATGCTTAAAATAAAACACCAAGCTAAGCATTTTACCTAAGTCATTTCGTTTCATTTTTTTCCACAGCTCTGTGATGTAGGCAGTATTATTACCTCCATTTTACAGATTAGGGTACTAAGGCACAGGAAGACTAACATGTCCAGGATTCCATAGTGGAAATTCAAAGTCCAGGTGGGCTGATGTCAAAGCACATCCACGGTCTCGGGTACCCCTATATTGCCTTCCCAGACAGGTTCTGCTGCCACATCCCCAGATAAATTTCCCTGACTGACATGGCCTCACCTCAAGTGTACTTAGCTGAATGGCAAAGCCAGTGTTCAGGGAACATTGTACAAGTACAAAGAAGAGTTCCTCTGCATAGCTTGAAAAGTCATCCTTACTGTTCTGTAGGTTGATTCATGAATGAATCCACATTTTTACTTTGCCCTCCCCTTTCATGGGGGAATGACTTACTCAGAGCAGTTTTGAAGGAAACTGGCAAATGGCCCTTCTGGGCCTTTCTCTACTGCTCTTGCTTAAAGTAAGCACAGTCCTGAGGACTATTTCTGCCTCTTCCCACCCTGAAAAAAGGTTCTGTGAATGGGGCTCTTGAAGTCTGTTTCACTGAGTTGACAGTTTCCTTCTTTTTCCCAGATTTTACCCACCAATAATACCCTTCTGTGGAGCAGACCTCCTGTCTGAGCTAATGTGGTTTCAGATGTAAGCTCAGTAGCAAGGGTCAGTAGCTGATCTCTAGGAGAGACTCTGGATCTGCCTAGATTCCCATAACCCCACTCTTCACCAACATTTGGCCCAGGAATTGGATCAGCCAAATCTAGCCATGTAGTTTCTAGCTCTGTTTTTCTTGGGCTTTCAAGTTTTTGGAGGCATGTTCCTGTACCCTCTAAAATACTACTTCCCAGATGTTTCCTGACCTCCAAGGAGAGGTCCAGACCGGACCTCCCAAAACAAGGTCCAGGGCTTCTTCCAAAAATAAAATCTCAAATTCCTTGGGACTTAGGGGTGGTTTAGAGGACTGTGGCATCTGTTAGTACTCTTGTCTGAAAAAGAAAGGTCATAATTTGAATTTGAACCCCTTAAGTCTTTTTTTTTTTTTTTGTAGCCTCTATAGCAGTGGTTCTCAAAATGTGGACCCTGGACCACTCTTTGAACATTAGCATCCCCTTGGAAATTGGTGTAAATACAAATACTTGGGCCCCACTCCAGACCTACCAAATCAGAACTTGTGGGACTGGGGCCCAGCACTCCCTATTGTAGCACACTCTCTAGGTCATTCTGATACACACTGACATGACAGAACCACTGCTCTCTAAAGCAAAGATTCTTTTATCTTTTTGGAGTCTTAGGTGTAAGAATCTGATGAAATCTTGGACTCTCAGCTGCTTCACAGAGTCCCCTAAGACTCAAGTTAAGAATTCCTGCTCTGGAGCTGGGAGTGTTGCTCAAGAGTTAGGGTACCTGAGTAGCAAGCATGAGACCCTGAGTTCAGACCCAAGCAGGGGGCGGGGTGGGTTCCTGCTCTAGCACTTAAGAGCTTGTCCATCCTTCTCTGACTTCTACCTGTTTCTTGGTACCACTACAAGAAGAGGTGACCATATACTCCCTGTTTGTCCTTTCATCCATACTGTCAGATGTCACTGAGGATATGCAATCCCTGTACCAGACAGCACAGGATAAGGGCTTACTGCTCCCTCTGTGTGCTGCAGATGTAGTCCATGGACAATAAACAAGAACCAAACGTTAAGCTAAGTGTGGTGGTACAAACCTATAATCCCAGCACTTGGGAGATTGAAGCAGCAGGATCATGAGTTTGAGGAGGCCAGGCTGGGCTACATAGATGACCCTATTTACTAAAAAAGAAGAAAAAGTTCAGGCATGGAGTTTGGGACCAGATAAAAAATTGACTTCTTCTGGAGTTGGGTCAGAACCGTCCTGGCTATGGCAGTTGACTGTAGTACAGCTAGAGTTTTGTCAATGGCAAGTCTTGGACTCCCAAGAGAGGAACTCCCAAAACAAGGTCGGGGCTTTAATTTACTAGCTAAGAGCATCTCACCTTGCTCCTTTACTTGAGCAGACAATGACTTAGCTTGGGGTCAGCACGTAGTTTTTCCTGTACAGTCATTCTTGGGTCGTGACCCAAACTGGTAACTCAGAGCAACCGCATAGAGGAAAGTCCCTTCTCTAAAACTGGGGCCTCCTAGAAGGAGGCTGACTGAAAAGAGTGCCTGGAGCTTCAGAGCTTGGGCTTCCCTGTGAATCTCTCCCTGCTTCCTGGTTCTGAGATGTGGCCTAGGGAAGAAAGACATATTTTTATACTGACTTCACATATCTGAAGCAGAAGCTTAATTCCCTCACAAACCCATTTCTCCCATCTTAGTCTCTGTTGCAAATGCTTGAACCAAAAA